CCACACCCACACCCACACACACACACACTTGAACGCACCGTGTTTAAGCTTGTCATGCCGTGGAATGTAGCGCGCAGAAACCCTTGGCGAGCATGAGCAACTTATGCGGCAAGGTTTCAGACGCTGATAGTCGCGCAGCAGCGTGGGAAGCCGTGTGCTTGGGAGTGCTCCGGCGCTACTGTGCCTTGCGATGTTGCGATTCTGTGCCTGCCATGGTCTAGGGATATATTATTGTTCAACAGTCCCGTAAACCGTAGCCCCGTTTGTTTCTTGCAGGAGGCGTAGCAGTACTTTCAGCGTTCTTGGACATGAGCTTTGAAGAGGTCAAAGGTTTCGATGGCGCAGCAGTTCTGTAGGCCAATTGAGCCGAGGGCATGCGCTACTTCGCGCTAGGCTGCAAAGGCTTTAGAACTGGCAGAGGGGTTGGCGGATTCTGTCCTGGCTTGTGCTCAACGCGCTTATCAGAGTGGGTAACTTAACGTGACACAATCTTTTTCAGATTTTGTTGCTTGCACAGCTCTCGCACGTTTGCCAAGGACCCCGGGCGAGCTGAAGATTCTGCTAGCGCAGCAAAGGAATACTGCTCGTCAACATGCCCAAACACTGCCTTCAAAGCCTTCGCGCGCTGGCCAGAACCATGTTTTCAAGGACCGCAAGTTGGCAGACATCTACCGGGATGTGGTGCAAGTCCTCCTGCCGAATCTTGCAGAAGTCCAACGGCTGGAAGAAAGGCAGCCACATGTACCTGATGCTGATCAAAGAGTGCGTCGCGCCGCTTTTTGTCGCACTGAGAACTTTACATCAGACGGAAGCGCCGATGATCAGGGGCCATTGCAAGTGTGGATATTGAGTGAACATTTCGACCCGTACATGCACAAGCTGGACTGCACATTTCAAAAGCATGTCGTGACCCCAACTTTCCAACATTCGACCCAATTCCTGCTCGCGGTAGACACAACGAAGGTGAAAGAATTCAAGAGCCGCGCAGAAGCCATGATCAAAACCAAACTCCCCAAGAAGGACGTGGAACTTGCGGATGCTGGCTTCGCCTATATCCGAACTCCGATATTTGCGCACGCCAATTCACCACATGATCGATCAACATGAATTTAATTGCACCTATTTTTAATCAATTTCAATTTGAAAAATACAAATGGGTTGAATACATTTATCATGTTTTAATGATATTTTGTTTTGGGACAATGTGTTACCGGTTTAATTTAGGGACGAGTTATTAAAAAATAATATAGATTGAAAAGGTTTTAAAGATATATTATTGTTGGTTATTTTGGATATATATATATATATATAAATATACGTTTAATATGTTTTTGGAAATAATATTTACTCGATAAAACGAAACCGTGAACAGATATCTGCTTGTCCATAGCAATTTTGGCTGAAATCTTAGCCCATCTTCCGAGAGTTTGGCGATGCGAGAAGCTGTGAGCCGCGGCCGATTGTTGCGACCAGTGGTATTTTCCCAATGCTTTGGACGAAGTCAGCTCGGCTTTGCTTGCACCCAGGATGTTTCTGGTCGATCGCGTTTTCGTTTGCGCTTGCAACAACTGAGAGGTGGATGGATCTTTTGAGGCTAACAGCCCGCGGATCCGTTCTCACTTTGCTCAGGCGACCGCCTTTCACTGACTCTTCGGCGTGACCTTATCGCGACCCTCAGTGCGTCTCGCGACTTGTGTTTGGAGAACGGCAGCATGCTTTTCGCATGCAACGAGTATACATTTTTTGATGCATATGAGATGATAAAATCTGTTGGTGCCTGAGTTGCAAAACATGTCTTGCCGGCGCGGGCTGTATAAGATTTGCCCTGTTCTTGGCACACCCGCCACGGCCTGGACCTTGGCCGCTGAGAGCTCGACCCTTTTTCGGCACCCGCCTTAACTTACCCCTAATTGCTGGTTTGGATTGGTGGTTTGGGGATTGAACCCCTGGATCATGTTGAAGTTGAATGGGAAACCACCCCCTAACCTCCAAAACACCGATCCAAACTACCAAACACCTGCGACCCTTTTTCTGGCCACGGGCCAGAATACAGCCGTTATGGAGGGCAAGGAGAGCGGCGGGGCAGCGCCAAGACAAGCGCGTGACAAACCGTTTGCCACTGGCTTGCTCCACTGGGCAAGGGCGCCACGGCCAGCGGCCGCGTGCAACTGGGGCACGCGCAAGCGCGCTCTTGCAGCCCGTCTGCGTCACGGCTTGGGCTCGGAGTTGGACGCGTGCACGTGCGCAGGCGAAGCCTGTGGCATGTCGACATCAGAATCCGGCGCGCTGCGCGCCGGAGGTGTGTCTCTTTTTGTCTCTGTCTGTCTGTCGGTGTCTGTCTCTGTCTCTCTTTGTCTGTTGGTCTCTCTGTCTCTGGTATCTGTTTCTTTGTCTGTCTGTCTATCTGTCTGTCTGTGTCTGTCTGTGTCTGTGTCTGTGTCTGTGTCTGTGTCTGTGTCTGTGTCTGTGTCTGTGTCTGTTTGTCTGTGTCTGTTTGTCTGTTTGTCTGTGTGTGTCTGTCTCTGTCTCTGTCTGTGTCTGTCTCTGTCTCTGTCTGTGTCTGTGTCTGTGTCTGTGTTTGTGTCTGTGTCTGTGTCTGTGTCTGTGTCTGTGTCTGTGTCTGTGTGTGTTTGTGTTTGTGTGTTTGTGTTTGTGTGTCTGTGTGTTTGTGTGTTTGTGTGTTTGTGTTTGTGTGTATGTGTTTGTGTGTGTGATGGTTTTTGTATTTGTTTTTTGTTTTTTTTGTGTTTTTTGTTTGTTTTTTGTTTGTTTTTTTGTTTGTTTGTTTGTTTGAAATTGATATTGTGTAGGTTAATGTTTATGAGTTTATGAAATTTAGTTGATATTATATAGGTGAAAAAAGTATAAATTTAGAAAGTTTGGTTTTTAATGATTATTGAGAGAATTAGGATAATTTTGATATTGTATTTAGGTAAATGAAATATGTAAAATCAAAATTTAATATATTATTTCTTATTTAATGATGGAGGTTATTGATTTATATTATTGGGATATGAAATGTAAAAAAACATTGGTTGTTGGTGATATAAGATTCGATTATTATAATTAGTGGTGATTTTGTTAACATGTTTTGAACGAAATTAGTTTGGGTGTGTTTGTATATTATTATTTTGTGTATTGAAATCTTATTGAGAAATTTTATTTATAATTTGTTTTTAGATATTTGGATTTTTTAATTTATTGTAATGAGTATTTGAAATTGCCTTTTGTTAAATATTTGTTGGGTTTGTTTATTTTTGATTTTGTGAATATGATTATATAGATTTATTTCTGATTGTTAATTGGAATGTTGTTGTAACTATTTTTTTTGTTATGGGTTGTATGTTGTATATTGTTGGAAAGTAATGGGTTTTATTAATATATATCTATTTAGATATATTTTGTATTTGAAATATAAGATGTTAAAAGGTATTGAAACCGCATTGAATGTATATTTTTTTAGGTTTAGTTTAAATTTTCAGAATTAGGATTATATAGGTCTTGGTATTATTTATATATATATATATTTGTTTAATTGAATTATATACATATTATAGATATATAAATATAGATTAATTAATAAAGCATATAAATTTTATAATATATAAATTGATAATTAAATGAATTATTATATTTTAATTTTATTATATATGTTAATATATAATAAATTATGTTGAATTTTTTATATAATTTTTTTATATATAGATATTTTGATTTATAATATATATTTTAATATGTTTGAATATATTTTTAAATTGGAATAATAATTTTGAAAATAATAATTCGATTTGATTAATGTATATAATAGATTGATTAAAAAAGCATATATAAAATAATTACAATTTAAAAAATATATATATATAACCGTGATACATTATTTAATTGTATTTTAAATACCTATTGTAGAATTTATAGAAATATACAAAAGAAATGAATAGGGTTTGTTATTTTTTCGTACGTAAAATATTTTTCTATAACGGGCATTATATTTGGTAATCCGATTGATTTCCATAATATAATTTTTGGAATCATGGATTAATTATATTATTAAAAAATATTATTTATGGGATATATATATATATTATTTTTAATATTTAATATCGAATTATTTAATATATTTATTATTTTGAATTAAGAGATAACAAAATTGAAATTTGAATTTATGTACCATATTTTGTGCTTTAATATAAATAAATAATTATTTGTTTTTATATATATATGTTTTTGAATATATAATATATATTATAATTTAATTAGTTATATATATATATATTTTTAATATACATATTTTGATTTTGAATTAATATTAATATTTTATATTAAACCGATAAATATTAACTACATATATATAAAATCAAATAAACAAAAAAAATATATTCGAATTATCATTACATAATTAGAAATATGTAATTATTTAAATTTCGATCAAGATCTAAATATAAAGTAAAATAAACAATAATTAAAATTATGTTTATTAAAGAATATTTAAATTCCAAAAAATAAACCAATATACATGCAAATATATAAGAATCGAATCTTTCCCAACAAGGAAATAAGGAATAAAGAAATATCTTTCCTATTTCGAAAATCATCCCGCATCTTTCTAACATAGCATAATAATCATGAAAATATTATGTTTATATGATTAATTTATTGAATATGTATATTAAAAAAACATATTTTGAAATTATATATAAATACAATTATTTATAATATATATATATATATATATTCAGCAGCGCGCGAGATGAAGCCCATGGCAAGAGAATAACAGAATTAGAGCATAAACTATAAATACATTCCAATTCATGGTCGTAAACAAATATATATGGGCAAATCATTCCTAATATTAAAAAAAAAAAAAACGATTTATAGAATTGTAAAAAAAACATAGGACCTAGTAGAATTCCGTAAAGCAATAAACCAATAACCGACCACTCCGATAAATCAATTTATTGGTAAGTTAAAACAAAATAGCCATTTTTAGAGGTTTATATTAATTAAAACCCAATACCCGACATAAAAGGTCCCCAAGCAAGGGGGGTCTTCATGATAAGCTCGTTTAAATCCCGATCCCGGAGCTTACGATGGGATAAGCAAAGCCCAGTAGTCATAAGAAAACGATCATGTTTGTTTGATTAATTCTTTTTAATAAAGGCTTCTTTTTTCATAACAAATTTTCACGGGGAATCCTTCAACTTAAGCGCTAAATACCCTATATTCATCACGAAATCTGCAGATTACTTGCTAAGAATACGCTAACCCTCAGGTAACAAAAAAGCTAGACTTTAAAACCTTTCCATGTTCTCAATCTAACCACGCCGCGCCGGCTACATACATACCACCAGATATAATCAAGAATAGGAATTTCGCCAAGAATGGTTTTTCAAGCACCCCATAACCGTGTTACTTCCGGTTACCCAACGACCCTAGTAAAAAATAGGTATCTGTGTGAAAGATAATCCCTAGGAATTTGAAGGGAAAAAGGTAGTACTAACCAACTTAGCTATTATTAGGACGTGTAACCATCCATCATACCGAGCCGTATCGCCAGCAATTGCAGATTTATAGCGCTTATACTACAGCCTACTGGAAGGAAAGCAACTTGCAACACATTTGCATAATGCTAAAGATTTGTAGCCGGAATATCCTCAATCAATCACGCCTATAATAATCTCTATGACAATCCTATTTGCAGCCTTTTTCTCGCCAAGACTAACTCCATGTCTCAAAATTCACTTCCGCTTTGGACCTCCGCCGGCTAACGCCTAGCGGCTGCACTTGCTTGGCATAACCATAGACTTGGATAGGAGGATATATGAATAGAGGGGATCAATTAACATATTTTTTTCCTAGCGTCCTTTTAAACCAAAGGTCAAAAGGGTAGAAACAAGAAAGACAATACTCTATAAAATGATATAGGATCAAAAAGGCTTTCCCATAAACCGTGCCAGGCGGAAACCCGTTCCTACCCCATAACCGGGACTTAGTGTGCCTCGGTCTCTTTCTCTGCTAGCAACATGGGTTAGATTCCCTAAACTACTACTTCTGGGAAAAGAATGCAACACCAACCAAAAAGCTGGTTGTTTCGTGTCGATCCTACAGCAAGCAGGGCTCCATGTATTTCCCCTTTCAGTTTCGTCGCAAGACATCTCTTCAAATTGGTCCAAAAAGTGATGTCTAAAACCGCCAAAAGGAGAAATAAGCTTTAAAATTTTGGGGTTGAGGGTTAAGGGTAGCTGGATTCGTGCCTGCAGCAGCTGGCCAAAAGGATTCGTAATGTAGAGCTAAGGGTTCAAGATGTCTCAGTTCTTGTTTGTGTCTTGATGATAAGCGTTTGAATATTGGGTTCAGGATGTCTCAGTTCTTGCTTGCGAATTAATAATAAACGGCCGAAAATTGACGTAGTGCTTGCAAGCAAGTTAATGCAACAAATTCTTATGAATTTAGAATATACGACTAAGGGTTTCAGAAATAGTTTCGTTTAACGCCCAGACCTTTTTTTTTCCGAAATATCCCGGATATTTCGACGATTGCACTCCGGACCAGTATATTTACTCAAATTTGTCCGGGCTACCCCGGTATATGTACAGAAGACATAGTGGTTTCATTTTTTTTGTAGGGAGTAATTTCTCGAAATATTTAAGATATTTCGAGCAAACGGTCCGAGAATCGCAGCCACCCAAACCTATCCGGGCTACCCCGGCACATGTGCGGAAGATATAGTGGCTTCGGTTTTTGTAGAATTTCGTGAAATATTTAAAATATTTCGGAGGAAAAAAAACAAAAAAAACGATCCGGTAATCGCAACCACCCGCCAATTTCTCGAAATATTCCGAATATTTCGGAGACCGTTTTCCAATTTCCCGAAATATCCGGGATTTTTCGGAAAAGCGATCCGGGAAAACGCCCATAAATACGACGATCGAATTTCATGATTTCATTTTATAGAGTAAATTAAATTATATATATATACATATATATTAGAGAGAACCCATTAATTCCATCAATAATAATACCAAGAAAAATCAAATAAAAAACATGAAAAACATAGGAAAACCATAAATATAAAAAAACAAAACAAAAAAAAAAAAGAAAAAAAAAAGAAAAACAATAAACAATAAATAAAAAAATAGAAAAAAAATAGAAAAAAAAAGAAAAAAAAAAAGGAAAAAAAAAAAAAAGAGAAAAAAAGAAAAAAAAAAAAAGAAAAGACAAAAAAGAAAAGAAAGAACGAAACAAAAACAAAAAAAACAAAGAGATAATAAAAAAAGAAGAAAAAAAAAGAATAAAAAGAGAGAGATAAATCCATAGCAGGAGGAATTGCTACTAACGGAGATGCCCGAGGTAAAGCCAATAACTCCCCTCCGACCGGGAGAAATCAACCGATGCCCCAACAAGACCTAAGCAAATTATTCCTCATCCTACAGACGATAAAACAATATCAAAGAGAAAGAAGAAGAAAAAGATCAAAAAAAACAAAATATATATATATATATTCCTTTTTCTCCTTCTTTCTTTCAATGAAAAAAAGGTGAGAGAGAGAAAGAGAGAGAAAAAAAAACAGAAAAAAAGAGAAAGAGAAAGAGAGAAAGAAAAGAAAGAGAGAGAGAAAAAAAAAACCGAAGGAAAGAAAGACAGAAGGAAAAAGCAAGAGAAAAAAAAAAAAAAAAAAAAAAAACGGAGAGAGAAAAGGAGGCAGGCATACAACAAAAAGATGAAAGCGGAGCTTAAAAAGAGGAGATATTATACGTATCAACGCGGAAATATGCCATCTTTGTGCACCGATCCACAAAAACAAACACAAACAAACAAAAACAATTAAATAAAACAACTATAGACAAACATTACCCAAATAAACAAACACAAACACGAACACACGGAAATAAACAAAAAGATACCAAAAAACACAAAAAAATAAACACGAACGATAAACACGGACAAAAAGAGACCAAAAAGACAAACCGAAACAACCCGAGAAACAGAAAATAGAGAAGCACAAACACCAAAAAGAAACAAATTAGGATACACAGAGATGCGGAAAAATAGATAGAGAAAGACAGAGATTACGAAACAAATAGATATAAATACACGGAAACAGACTAGGAGCTACAAAGAGAGGCAAAAAAACAATAACACCCACGAAAAATTTCGACTCGAACAAATCCCCCAAATTTTCCGAAAATTGGCCCGATAATTGTTTCGACAAACCATCAAATTCTAAAAAAAATGTTAGGGATAACGTCCGGAAATCTAAAAGCCGTGTCGCCAGAAACGACCCAAAATTCTGCAAAATTTAACCGAATTAAACCACAAAATCTAAAAATAAATGTTAAACACCCCCCCGAAATTCGGCCTTCCAAACCATTCAAAAACACGAAAACTTATACCGCGAAAAAACAAAAACAAAAAAAAACCAAATCAAATATATCCATTCGTCGCAATCATTACGATTCGACCAAAATACCACTACAACGGCTTACCAATACACAAGAACTACGACCTCGAGGTCATATCGATTTTATTAAAGAAATTATATTTTTTTTTTCAATTACCAAATATTAAAATAAAATCAATAATTTCAATAATTAAATCAATAATATAAAAAATAATCAATAATATAAACAATTTTATTATTATTTTTAAAAATATATCAAATATTAAATTTAATATATATATATATATTATTAAAATATAAATATTAATTCTAATTTTATATCAATCAATCGAATTTCAATATAATATAATTTATAATTTATTTTTATCTATATTCAAACTAAACACATACATATTCATTTTAATTAATATTATTCTTCTTATAATATCTATAATTATATTAAATAATCAAATTAAAGAAATTCAACATAATAAACAAACTACGCAATACATAACCACATAATGATATAATAGATATGTTAATAAATTGTGCCAAGGCCTTCAACATATTATCAATCTCAATATCTACATATATTTACATTTTATGTGTAGATGTATTTTCGTTGGTTTTATTTTTGTTTCTTTTAAGTAACAAGACCATGCTGTCGCCCATATCCACGAATGGCCAATTCGGAAGTCGCGCTCCCATCCACCATTCTATTCATATTGCTTCCAATCAACCTCGCTGAAAGTGAATTCACCCCATGAGGACTGACCCCATGAGAATGTCCCGAAGAAAGGATCGCCACGGACAAAGCCCTCAGAAGTTGGACTTGTGCTATAGCGGTTGATCTCTTCTTTCTGAAGCATCTTCCGGAGAAGGCCATTCAGCTCGACGAGATCATAGTCGAACTTCTCTTTATTTGGACAAAGCGTCAGCTTGCCGTCCTCCTCTGCCTTGCGGCGTTGGAGAATAGCCTGAAACGTCATTCCAAGAGAAAACACATCACACTTACTGCTGTAGGGCTTCGCATTTTTCACTTGTGGAGCCATGTAACCGCGTGTGCCTGCCACTCCCTCCAAGTAATGACCTTTTTGCAATCTTGCTGAAGACCCAAAATCTGTCAGCTTGATGTCCGTCCCATGCTTGTCTATATTTTTCAGTAGAACGTTTTGCGGCTTCAAATCGCGATGAACTACACCCATTTGGTGCATGTAGATGACCGCAAAGGTCATAGAAGCCATGAAGGTACGGCACCGCTCTAGCCATTCCTTGTCCAAGGCCTTGCCTGACCAGTTGGCTTGATGGAGGGTAAGTTCAGCAAGGGACCCCCCCTGGCAAAGCTCCATCAAAATGGACTTCTTCTCAAAAGTAAGTCCAGGACACGCCTCTGCATGTATCCACACATCGCTGCACTCATACACTTTTACAAAAAGTCTATGACACAAATCCTTCGCGATGAGCTCGTGCTGGAGACTTCTTTCGTTGATCCTCTTCTTGGCGAGCTTCAACGCCAGCTTGCCTAGCAAGGGCGGCAAGCCAAGCATTTTGGATGAATGCTACATGGATGCGATGTGCTTCTTGGTTTTGCCCAAAAGGGCCTGGTCATTTTTCGGCAAAGCGGCTGATTTGGGTTGGGGTTTAGGCTTGCGAACCGTTGCTTTGCGACAGGTTGAGAGTTGCTTTCGGGGGATGGCTTGAGCCTGCATGGATTGGTTTTGGGATCGGTTGGCGCCAAGCCAGGCGGATTGAAGTAGGGTCGGGGTAGAGTGAAGGGCTGGTTTGAGGCTGGTTTGAGGCTGTGATTGGTTGGTTCATGATGGATTTAGGGTTGGTTTAGGGTGTGTGGGGGTGGGATAGGATTTCGGGCTGGCTAAAGACTGGCTTCATTATGGTTTAGGACAAGGACGTGGATGGCTTGAGGGTGGGTTGAGGGTGGGCTTTGTGCCAGGATTGCTATGGTAAGGTTTGAAAACAAGTTTAGGGTTGGTTTTGGGCCAGTTTTGCTTGAGACCACAGAAAGCCAAGAAGCCGCGCAATACACCCGAGCCAAAACGGAAGAACCGTATTTAATCCAACACTTGCTCTCCAAACATCTCCAAACAGAGTCTTACTGGTCTTGTCGTCCTGCACCATGAACATCAGCAAGCTCAGTGACAATGCAATTAGTTGCCGCATCACTCCTTCTGGTTGCGTGGTTGAAGGTCAATCTTTGGCCGCTGCATCAACAAGACTTCCAAGTCAATCTTTGATTCAGTTCTCTTGCATGAGCTCACACACAACATTGATGAATTTAGCTTTCAAGTCTGGTGCCAGGTTAGCCCCCAGCAAGCTTGGACAACTCTGCTTGTCCGCCCGGCCTTTTCTCAGTAGGTCTGTCACCTCATAAACAGTGCCTTCGCTGCCGCTGCCAATCTCACGATGTAGCCAAAAGCGATTGGCAATGATTTGGCGACTGGCCATGTCTTTTGAGGTGCGGCTGTCGAGCAAAAAGTTTTGCAAGCTCTGTGTGTTAGCATGTTGTTTGGACCCCACTTGTCGGATGTAGAGCACAATCTGATCATTTGGCGATCCGAGCCTACGCTGCACGTTGCCTTTGCTGAAGCCCAGATTTGCGAGAATTGCTGTTCCTTGTTTCACCACGACGCATCTGAAATAATGGCGTGCAACCCACGGTTGCCGGTTCAACAGTTTGATCACCTCTTCCGCTTTTCCGATCACTGCGAGGTGGGTGTTGAGCGTCTCTTGCACCTCTGTGCATTTCCACATGCGTCCATGTTGCACTTCTGCTGCGGTCAGCAAATTCGACAAAGCCTGCTTGAAGTCCATGAAGGCGCGTTTCTCGCCAGCTTCTCGCAAATCATCTTCCTGAGTGATTTGTTCCTTTCTAAACTGACGGTTAAAATCATCATCCACAGTCTTTGGCCACATTCGCACCACCGCTGAGGTTCTCTGATCCTCCCGACGAAAGCTGTACGGCCTTTGCGGTGTAACACCACTGTCCAGGTCAGCAGCACCAACTGGAGTGAACAAGCCTTTGCCCCTGCGTAACCAGCTCTTGCTTTCGCATGCTCCATCTGCTGAGATTGTCTGCACTTCAACTTTGTCCCTGCCATGCGCCCGAATCTGTCTTTCCCAAAAGCTGTCGCTTGGTTCAAATAGAAAGCGAGACACTTGTTGCTTGAAGCCACTCAGCACCGTTGTAGTCTCAGAGATCTGCATCAAAGATTTGCTGACATTCTTGCAGTTGCAGCGAACACATGGCGTGAACTGCAAGCATTTCCGTTCACTCACGGATCGCCACAGCGACACAACGGTTTTAAATACCACTATGGGGTGGCAGGTCGTGCATCGGGCATATGAAAGGCAGGCAGCACTGCCCAGTGCACCGACGCCGAAGCAACATCTGAGAGTCAGATACACCATTTCAGCCCGGAACATAATTAAATACTCTGCGAAGACATCCATGGCTGAAGCTATACCCCGCCTGTTCGAAATCGCGGGGGGCCTAATCACAATCCGCCCTGCAAAGTGTTGGTTGAAACCTTCTGCTGGCATCGAACATCCGTGCAACCAGCAATCCGCAATCCGCAAATCGCATACTCCAACCCCATGATGGGCAAACCGCAAATCGTTGTGGATTAGGTTTTAAAGAACAAGCTAGTGTAGAATAATTCCAGGACATGCGCTTGAGCACCTCAAAGCGAATCCTGCTTAATGAATCCCAACTCCTGTCTCCTAACCCCCGCCCCCCTTTGGCTTGTCCAAAACCTTCGTGGTGTCTTCATTTACGGAAGGAAAGGCGGGGTGAAGAGGCGGGATGTTGGGATGGTGACTGGACCTGGACTGGACCTGGCTTGCTCTGCATGTGCCCCAAGAGTTTCTGCATCCCAGGCTTTTCAACCACATCACAAAGACACAATGCTTGTGAAAGGATTTCACTTTCCCGCTGGCCGGCTTCGTCAGCGGAACTGAAAAGACTCTGAGGCCTGATGAGGTTTTTGCAACTGCCCCAGCTATGCCGCAAAACCATGGACCGCCATCCAACCCACACACTTGCCGTTCTTTCTTTTTGCATCCGGGCATCTATCATCTGTACATCCAAACGCCGGCGATGCTACAATTGTGCACATACCGCACAAAGGCGCGCACATGGACTACGCGCAGCCAACTGCGCAAACTACATGCCATATGCGGCCTGGCCAAAAATTGGTCCCTTGGGGCATCCAGTTCCCACACCAATCTTCTCGAATGTCATCGGCTGAGCATGAAATTCCGGGAGGCCACAAAGGAGGAGTCATTTCAGGTCGGATGCATGACATGCCTCCGGCTCACAGCAGGACACCTCCGCACCCCTGGCCGATCCTGCGGATGGCAGGACGGGGCACACGCGCGCTTTAAAACATGTCTCCCAAAATAATTGGTTCCTTTAGGCTTTCGCGGGCCCAAGTCCTAAAATTCTCGGCTTTTGGGCAGCCCATCTGCACAGCTGTTCCTCTCACTTCACCTTGACGCTGTGGGCAAGAGCTGGCGGCACAGTTGCGTGGCACCTCGCGCGGAGATGGGCTCTGCGTGGTGCCTTCAATGGGTGTCTGTGTGTTGGTGCGGGAAAGTTCACCCCACCATCACGGCACTCCAATGCTCAGGTGGCTTGCTTGAGGGGGTGGACTACTCAGACCCCCCCCCACAGGCCTGAACCCACGCCCCCAACAAAGCCGGGTGGTATTCTCAATCGGAACCTCCTGGAACCAAATCTCCGGAACCCTGAAAGCTGCCCCAAATCAGCCCTCGCCTATCTGGGCAGAGACCCTCATTTTCAGCTGGGGAAAAGCGTGTTAGATTTTTAGGGCCGACGAGATGTGAAACGGGACATGGTTTTGTGTAGACCGCTTTGGTAGGAGGCTTTTTTTCGGAGTTTAATAGCTTAAACAGCAAGAAACATATGGTCAAAACTTGAGTGGGGGTAATCGTGACCTGAATTCGAATCCTAGGACGTGAACGTCTTCCCAGAATTGTTCTCACAACTCAGAAGGTTGGATTTAGAGTAGTTTCGCTCACCATCCGATTCATCGCAAGCAAGCAGGTCTTTGCATTGTCACAGGCCAAGTCTCCAATCCCTTGTCCATTTGTTGGGCGGCGCGGCCATCTCTATGTCAGCCATCCGCAGTGGCAGCAGAGGCGGCAAAGCGGATGGCTTTTGCTCCTCGAGAAATCTGAACATGAAAAGCGAAAGCCTGAAATTAGGGACCTGCCTGAGTCCCTCATCCGTGCACGAGCTCGCTGGAAATCAAGAAGACACAGGCTAACGCCAAACATTGAGCGATTGGCATGAGCCGACAGCAGTACAAACAAACACTTGGCTTCCATTTGGCTTCCAAGGACAATAAGAGCTGGCAAGTTGCAATCAAACAGCCAATGCTTTAGGCTTTGCACTCCTGTCCGATTCTGTTGAGCACTCTCCGTCAGCAAAAGCGGATCAAGTCAAAGCCAGTTTGGGAAACGTGTTTTTTTGCCCCCCCAATATGTCTTTTGGGTGGGAGGGGGTTTGCCATACCCACGTACGCATTGTCAAGGACAAAGTCCTTGACATCAAAGGCTTGGCTTGTAGTCTGGGCTTTGGGAAAGGGGCAGTTGGCTTGTGGCTCAGTACGCATGCTGATTCTGGCTTAGTACGCATCTGCTGCAGCTGCAGCGTTCTGTTTTTTCGGTTCAGCTTGGGTTTTGCTGGGCATTGGGCGCCGCTAGCAAACCTCAGCGGCTTTCCGCAAAATGCCCCCTCCAATCTTTGCAAGTCTATTGCAGAGTTTGCTTTGCAAAGCGGCCGCTCTGAAAAGGAGTGCACAAGAGTTGCAAAATGCACCAACAGCTATGGATAAGTAGTACGCTTGCTTCATAGAGTTGCCAGCTTGGATTCCCGCACCCATCTTCCCCACGCCTTCTCCCAAAGCGGCTGCACTGCCTGCACAACAACCGCCCAGCACCAGGCTAGGGAGAGAAAGTCCAGCAGACGGCAAGCCCAGTCATACAGCAGCAGCTGCAACAAACCTGGGGTCTCCACTGCAAACGGTTGAACGACGCCTAGGAGTCCCTTTTTCTATCCCAAAATGGGGTCAACCAGCAACCTCCAAGGAAGCCGACACTGTCTGCCAGATCGCAAGTACTTTGCACAGGTCTGCAGAGAACTGAAGGCGTCAAGCCAAAGAAGCTGGACTTCGGCCACGTGCGCACCACTGTGATAGAGCCGGGATTGGCCACGCAAGCCTGGCAAAGCGACCAGACTCAGGGTGGCAAAGCGACCAAAGCTGTCGAACGATTTTCTATTTAGATGACCACCCACATCGCAGAGTACGTATAGTCAAATCCAGTCTTGTCTTGGGATTTGCGATTTAGGATGATTCGTCAGTTTCTACATGGACGATTTTCTGATGCAGCTGTGCTTTCCCCACTCTTTCTCGTCGGAAACCCACCAAACACTGGAGAACGGCGGTAACAATTTGCAGACAACGATGGGCGAAGATAGTCCGGAAATCCAGATGGTTTCTTTGATATCTATACTATTTGCTTGCTCAGCACCCAGCTCCATGTCTTGAAGCATACAAACAAACTCCGGACCGCATTCCCAAAAAACACGCGCATGTGGCTATACAACATCAACTCAACGCCGCAAGTCCTTGTGTCATCAAAAGTCATCAATTGATATACTGACTGGACATATAAGCCTTGAGATGCGCTGCAAGCTCACCAAACACTCTGGCGACAAACTTCAGACATAGTGTTGGTTTTTCCGCCTCACATTTGCTGAATGTCCCCTAACAAGGCTTCATAAAACGGGGCACCGCATAAACACGCAAACGCACAAACGCGCAAACACAAACACAAACACAAACACACACAAACACAGACACACACAGGGCACAAACACAAACAAAAGCACAGAAACACATAAACACACACACAGACACAGGCACAGGCACAGACACAGACGACACGGACGACACAGACGACACAGACCACACAGACGACACAGGCGACACAAACGACAGGCGAGACAGACGACGCAGACGACGCAGACGACACAGGCGACACAGACGACGCAGGCGAAACAGACAACACAGACGACACAGATCACACAGACGACACAGACGACACAGACGACGCAAACGACGACGACTCAAATGACACAGACGACACAGACCACGCAGACGACACAGACGACACAGGCGACCGAAACGACACAGACGACGCAGACGACGCTGACGACACAGACAGCACAAACAGCACAACACACACAGACAACACAGACAACAGAGACAACAGAGACAACACAGACAACACAGACAACACAGACAACACAAACACCACAGACAACACAAGCAACACAGACAACGCAGACAACGCAGACAACACAGACAAGAAAGGCAACACAGACAAAGCAGACAACAACGCAGACAACACAACCAACACAGACAACACAGACAACACAGGCAAGACAGACAACACGGACAAAGCAGACAGACAACGCAGAGAACACAGACACCACAGACGACACAGACAGCACAGACAGCACAGACAACACAGATACCACACACACAACACGGACAACACAGACAACACAGACAACACAGACAACACAGACAACACACACACACAACAGACAACATAGACAACACAGACGACACAGACGACGACGCAGATGAGACAGCACAAGCAGCACAAACAACACAGACATCACAGACAACAAACACAACATGGACAACACAGACAGCACAGACAACACAGACAACACAGACAACACAGAGAACACAGACAACACAGACACCGCAGACAACGCAGACAACCCAGACAACACGGAAAAGCAGACAGCGACGCAGACAACACAAACAACACACAGACAACACAAACGACGCAGACGACGAAGACGACGCAGACGACGCTGACGACACAGGCAGCACAACCAGCACAGACAACAGAGACAACACAGACAACACGGACAACACAGAAAACACAGACAACACAGACAACACAGACGACGCAGAGGACGCAGACGACGCAGACGACGCTGACGACACAGACAGCACAAACAGAACAGACAACACAGACAACACAGACAATACTGACAACACAGACACCACAGGCAACACAGACAACACCAACGCAGTCAACGCACAGAACACAGACAAGACAGACAGCACAGACAACACAGACGACGAGGACGACGCAGACGACGCTGACGATACAGACAGCACAAACAGCACAGACAACAAAGACAACACAGACAACACAGACTCCACAGGCAACACAGACAACACAGACAACGCAGTCAACGCAGACAACACTGACAAGACAGACAACACAGACAAAGCAGACAACAACGCAGGCAAAACCAACAAGCAACACAAACAACACAGACAACGCAGACAACGCAAACAACACAGACAAGACAGACAACACAGACAACACAGACAACAACGCAGACAACACAAACAACACACACACACCCACAGACAACACAGACGGCACAGACGGCACAGCACAGACAGCACAGACAGCACATACAGCACAGACAACACAGACAGCACAGACAGCACAGACAGCACAGACAGCACAGACAGCACAGACAGCACAGACAGCGCAGGCAACACAGACAACACAGAAAACACAGACAACACAGACAACACAGACGACGCAGAGGACCGAGAGGACGCAGACGATGCTGACAGACAAAACGAACGACAGAGACAGCACAAAAAAACCAAACGCAGACAACAGACGACGCAGACGACAAAGACGACGCAGACGACGCTGACAATACAGACAGCACAAACAGCACAGACAACACAGACAACACAGACAAGACAGACAACACAGAAAACACAGACAACACAGACAACACAGAGGACGCAGAGGACGCAGGCGAAGCAGACGACGCAGACGGCACAGACGGCGCAGACGGCACAACGGCACAGGCGGCACAGACAGCACAGACGGAACAGACGGCACAGACGGCACAGACGGCACAGACGGCACAGACAACACAGACAACACAGACAACACAGAGGACGCAGAGGAGAGGAAGCAGATGGCACAGACAGCACAGACAGCACAGACAGCACAGACAGCACAGACAGCACAGACGGCACAGACGGCACAGACAGCACAGACAGCACAGACAGCACAGACAGCACAGACAGCACAGACAGCACAAGCAGCCCGCTTGTGGTGCTTACCAGATGGCGGATCTGCAAAAACGATGGCGCTTTGGCCGTCACGCTGTCTAGCGGGAACCATGTTGACCTCGTTCTGGTCGGTGTAAATGTATGCCTCAGCATACTCGATTGGGGCCGTGATCGACCCACCACCGGTCCTCAGGGAGTCTATGCTCAACCTGAGAGTCTCGGTGATGTCAAAATCAGAGTCTTCGTTAGTGAAATCCGTGAGGCGTCGCTCGGCTTGGACCACTGACATAACCACGTCCTCACGAGAGGCGCCTAGGCCATAAAGTGGAACGAGATACCCATCCTCGACTGCGATGCGGTACGCGTCGTGCATATATACAGAAAGGTAAAAGGCAAAGGCTGAATTTAGACTGCCCTTCCTTGTCATGTGGCGTCCCCACTGTGCCGCGTGTTGCGGGTTGTTGATCAAATATGCGAGCACTGTCAAGCCCTCAACACAGACAACGCAGAAAACACAGAAAACACAGACAACACAGACAACACAGACGACGCAGAGGACCGAGAGGACGCAGACGATCCTGACGACACAGACAAAACAAACGACAGAGACAGCACAAAAAAAAACAAACAAACGCAGACGACAGACGACGCAGACGACAAAGACGACGCAGACGACGCTGACAATATAGACAGCACAAACAGCACAGACAACACAGACAACACAGACAAGACAGACAACACAGAAAACACAGACAACACAGACAACACAGAGGACGCAGAGGACGCAGGCGAAGCAGACGACGCAGACGGCACAGACGGCGCAGACGGCACAGGCGGCACAGACAGCACAGACGGAACAGACGGCACAGACGGCACAGACGGCACAGACGGCACAGACAACACAGACAACACAGACAACACAGACAACACAGAGGAGGCAGAGGAGAGGAAGCAGATGGCACAGACAGCACAGACAGCACAGACAGCACAGACAGCACAGACAGCACAGACGGCACAGACGGCACAGACAGCACAGACAGCACAGACAGCACAGACAGCACAGACAGCACAAACAACACAGACAACACAGACAACACAGACGACGCAGAGGAAGCAGACGACGCTGACGACACAGACAAAACGAACGACAGAGACAGCACAAATAGAACAACAAACGCAGACAACAGACAATGCAGACGACAAAGACGACGCAGACGACGCTGACGATACAGACAGCACAAACAGCACAGACAGCACAGACAACACAAACAACACAGACAACAATGACAACACAGACAACACAGAGGACGCAGAGGACGCAGAGGACGCAGAGGAAGCAGACGGCACAGACGGCACAGACGCAGACGGCACAGACGGCACAGACGGCACAGACGGCACAGACGGCACAGACGGCACAGACGGCACAGACGGCACAGACGGCACAAACGGCACAGACGGCACAGACGGCACAGACGGCACAAACGGCACAGACGGCACAGACAGGACAAGCGGCACAGACAGGACAAGCGGCACAGACAGCACAGACGGCACAGACGGCACAAACGGCACAGACGGCACAGACAGCGGAGACAGCACAGACAGCACAGACATCCCAGACAGCCCAGACAGCACAGACAGCACAGACAGCACAGACGGCACAGACAGCACAGAGGGCACAGACAGCACAGACAGCAGCACAAACAGCAGCACAGGCAGCAGCGCAGACAGCAGCGCAGACAGCAGCGCAGACAACAGCGCAGACAGCGGCGCAGACAGCGTCGCAGACAGCGGCGCAGCGCAGACAGCGGCGCAGACAGCGGCGCAGACAGCGGCGCAGACAGCGGCGCAGACAGCGGCGCAGACAGCGGCGCAGACAGCGGCGCAGACAGCAGCGCAGACAGCAGCGCAGACAGCAGCGCAGACAGCACAGACAGCCCAGACAGCACAGACAGCACAGACAGCGCAGGCAGCACAGGCAGCACAGACAGCACAGGCAGCGCAGACAGCACAAACACAGACAGCACAGACAGCACAGACAGCACAGACAGCACAGACAGCTCAGACAGCACAGACAGCACAGACAGC